TGCGCCGCGCCGAGAAGGGGGACAGACAGAGCGACCCTGTGGCCAGCCTGACCTTCCGCGGTGAGCCTGGGACATCGGGGCCGCTGGGGGCTTGGAGCCCCTAAACCCCATAGAGCCGTGCTGCTCTACGCCCCCCCACCTCCCCATCCCCGTCCCTTCCCACGTACGGAGGATGGGGTCCCTGCTCCCCAAACGACGGGAAGCGGAGGCGATCCCAAAGCGACGGGGTGCTGCTTCTGGGTTTGGGGTTTGCGGGAGATCCCGTTGTTTTTAGGGGGTTTGTAGGGGAGGAGCTGCGCACGGTCCCCAAATGGGTGATGGAAGCGGAGGGCTGCGCCTTTGGGTGCTCCGTGGGGGGGCTGGGGGGGGGGGGGGGGGGGGGGAACCCCAAGGTTTGTGGATGAGAACCGCCTGAGAGCTGGGACTGAGGATCCTATGGGGTCCGTCCCATTGCTGTGGGCTTTGAGGGGCTGCACAGCTTCTGGGATTGGAGTTCTGTTCCCCTAAATGCTGGGGAGAACCCTGAAATTGGGGCCTGAGGGCACCCCAAGATTTACGGATGGGAAACCCCAAAGGTCTGAGCATGGGAACCCCTCAGGATTTGTGAATGAAGACCCTATAGAGGTCCGTCCCGTTGCTGTGGGCTCTGGGGTTTTGTTCATCCTTTGGGATTGGGGTTCTGTTCCCCTAAATGCTGGGGAACCCCCTGAGATTTGTGAATGAGGATCCCTTGGGATTTGGGAATGGGGACGCCCAGGATCCGTGACTGAGGACCCTATAGGAATCCATCCCACTGCTGTGGGGTTTGAGGGGCTGCACATCTTTTGGGATTGGGGATCAGTTCCCCTAAATGTTGGGGAACCCCCTGAGATTGGGGCCTGAGGGCACCCCAAGATTTATGAATGGGAAACCCCAAGATCTGAGCGTGAGAACCCCTCAGGATTTGTGAGTGAAGACCCTATAGGGGTCCATCCCATTGCTGGGGGCTCTGGGGGTTTGTATCCTTTGGGATTGGGGTTTTATTCCCCTAAATGCTGGGGAAACCCCCCAGATTTGTGACTGAGGGCACCCCAAGAGTTGTGAATGGGGACCTCCTGAGATTTATGAATAGGAACCCCAAAGATCTGAGCATGGGACCCCCTTAAGGTTTGTGACTGAGGATCCTACAGGGGTCCATCCCATTGCTGGGGGCCCCAGGGCGTCATTTGGGATGGGGCTTCTGTTTCCCCAAAGATTAGGGAGCCCCCCCAAATTGGTGACTGAGGACACCACAAGAGTTGTGAATGGGATCCCCCAAGATCTGAGTATGGGAACCCCTTAGGATTTGTGAATGAAGACTCTATAGAGGTCCGTCCCATTGCTGTGGGCTTTGAGGGGCTGCACATCTTTTGGGATTGGAGTTCTGTTCCCCTAAATGTTGGGGAGAACCCTGAGATTGGGGCCTGAGGGCACCCCAAGAGTTGTGAATGGGAAACCCCGAAATCTGAGCATGGGAACCCCTCAACATCAGTGAATGAAGACCCTATAGGGGTCTATCCCATGGCTGTGGGCTTTTAGGGTCTGTTCATCTTTTGGGATTGGGGTTTTGTTCCCCTAAATGTTGGGGAAACCTCTGAGATTGGTGACTGTGGGCACCCCAAGAGTTGTGAATGGGAACCTCCTGAGATTTATGAATGGGGAACCCCAAAGATCTGAGCATGGGAACCCCTCAACATTTGTGAATGAAGACCCTATAGGATCCATCCCATTGCTGTGGGCTCTGGGGATCTGTTCATCTTTTGGGATTGGGGTTCTGTTCCCCTAAATGTTGGGGAAACCCCTGAGATTGGTGACTGTGGGCACCCCAAGATTTATGAATGGGAAACCCCAAGATCTGAGCATGGGAACCCCTTAGGATTTGTGACTGAGGACCCCACTGGTGCCCACCCCATTGCTTTTGGGGCCGGCTCATCCTTACAACACTGATGGCCCCATAGCAATGGGGTGACGTGGCTCCCAGCAATGGGAAATGGCCATTTTTAGGTAAAGGAACCCAAAGCGAAGGACAGGAAGGGGCCGAGGAGGGGCGGCGCAGCCCTTCCTGCCGCGTCCCGGGGGGTCGGGATGGCAATGGGGTCAATGGGGTCAATGGGGCCGTTGGCAGCCGGCCGCCCCGCTGTGGGGTGCGGTGCCGGATGGAGCCCGCAATGCTGGGAAATCCCAAAATAGGAAAAGATCAACGGGAGGACACTTAGAAAACAAAAACCAGCGACCCCAAAAACACAGGAAAAAGGAAAAAAAAACCCAACAACACGACGGCCCCAAAGCTGGGATGGGTTTGGGGTCTGAGGTTTGGGGGCAGCACTGCTGTGGGGGCGGAGAAGCTCTGCCCCATAGCCGGCACTGGGGCGGCCCCAAAGGAGCGCTGTGGGGTCAGTGGGGAACTGAGTATGGGGTCAGTGGGGTAACTGGGGCACAATGCATGGGAGCTGTGGGGAAACTGAGGCGTTGTAGGATCAGTGGGGAAGTGAGGCCCAGCATATGGGATCTGTGGAGGAACTGAGGCATGGCGTGTTGGATCTATGGGGAAACTGAGGCCCAGCATATGGGGTCAATGGGAAACTGAGGCACAGGGTATGGGATCTGTGGGGTAACTGAGGCACAGAATATGGGGTCAGTGGGAAACTGGGGCGCAGCATATGGGATCTATGGCACTGTGTGTAGGGTCTGTGAGGAACTGAGGCCTTGTGTATGGGATCTGTGGGGAACTGAGGCACAATGCATGGGATCTGTGGGGAAACTGAGGCGTTGTAGGGTCAGTGGGGAAGTGAGGCACAGCATATGGGATCTGTGGGGGAAGTAAGGCACAGTGTGTGGGATCTGTGGGGAAACTGGTACAGGGTATGGGGTCAGTGGGGAAACAGGCACGGTGTGTAGGATCTATGGGGAAACTGAGGCACAGGGTATGGGATCAGTGGGGAAACTGAGGCACAACATATGGGATCTATGGGGAAACTGAGCGTTGTAGGATCAGTGGGGAAGTAGGGCACAGCATGTGGGATCTGTTGGGGATCTGAGGCACAGAGTATGGGATCTATGGGGAAACAGGCCCAGCATGTAGGATCTACAGAGGAACTGAGGCACAGGGTATGGGATCAGCGGGGAAACTGAGGCGTTGCGTGTAGGATTGATGGGGGAACTGAAGCCCAGCATATGGGATCTGTGGGGGAACTGTATCACAGCATGTGGGATTTATGGGGAACTGAGACTTTGTGTATAGGATCTGCGGGTTATCTGAGGCACAGCATATGGGGTCAGCGGGGAACTGAGGAACAGGGTGTGGGATCTGTGGGGTAACTGAGTTATGGTGTGTAGGATCTGTGGGGGACTGAGGCACAGAATATGGGATCTATGGGGGAACTGAGGCACAGCATATGGGATGAGTGGGGAAACAGGCACAGAATGTGGGATTAGTAGGGAAACTGAAGCCCAGTGTATGGGATCTGTGGGGAAACTGAGGCGTTGTAGGATCAGTGGGGAAGTGAGGCACAGCATATGGGATCTATGGGGAAACTGAGGCCCAGTATATGGGATCTGTGGGGGAAGTGAGGCACAGCGTATGGGATCAGTGGGGAAACGGGCACAGAGTGTGGGATCTATGGAGAAGCTGAGGGACAGGATATGGGATCTGTGGAGAAACTGAGGCATTGCGTGTAGGATCTATGGGGGAACCAAGGCATAGAATGTGGGGTCAATGGGGAAACTGAGGCACAGGGTATGGGATCTGTGGGGAAACTGAGGCACAGCATATGGGATCTGTGGGGAACTGAGGCACAACATATGGGGTCAGTGGGGAAACTGAGGCACAACATATGGGATCTGTGGGGGAACTGAGGCACAGTGTGTGGGGTCAGTGGGGAAACTGAGGCACAGCATATGGGATCTATGGCATTGTGTGTAGGATCTATGGGGAACTGAGGCACAGAATATGGGGTCAGTAGGGAAATTGAGGCACAACGTATGGGAACTATGGGGAAACTGAGGCGTTGTAGGATCAGTGGGGAAGTGAGGCACAGCATATGGGATCTATGGGGAAACTGAAGCACAGCGTATGGGATCTGTGGGGAAACTGGGGCACAGAACATGGGATCTGTGGAGGAACTGGGGCACAGAATATGGGGTCAGTGGGAAACAGGCTCAGAATATGGGATTAACGGGGAAACTGAGGCACAGCCTCCATAATGGAGAACCCCGTTGTTCCTCCCCCTCGTGCACGGGGTGGGAGCTGAGTTTTGGGGCCGTTCCCACACACCCCACGTGTGTTGTAGGGGTGAAGAAGAAGACGAAGGTCATCAAGAACAGCATCAACCCCGTATGGAACGAGGTGAGTGTGATCTTTCCATCCCGATCCTAGAAGGGGATCGGAGCGGATCCTATAAACCCTATTCTGACGCTCTGGAGCTCTTCTCTCTTTATAGGGTTTCGAGTGGGATCTGAAGGGCGTTGCTTTGGACCTGGGCTCTGAGCTTTGTGTTGTTGTGAAGGACCATGAGACCGTGGGGAGGAATAGGTGAGGAAAAAGGGGGGGGAAGGCTTTGATCCCAATATTCCCCCCCATGGCTCCGATTTGCAAAGCCTGGGGTGTGCACAAAGTGGCTTTGCAAAACGGAGCCTGGGGGGAGGGTTGTGGAATTTAGGATCGACCCTTGTGGGTTGAAAGAGTAGGAAGAAAGCAATGTGGCATTTTTTTGGGGGGGAACACAAAGATTTGGGTTGTTTGCTGTCCCCCCC